CCCTAAGACTATGAACCTGCCTCCTAGGGCCATCAAACTCATTGGCTTAAGATGTTTTGTAATATCTAGATAGTTCTCATCATTTTGTCCCCTGTGTGCTCCACTACGGAATCCTGCTCTGGCGCAGTAGAATAAGCACTCAAGTCAAGGTCAGTTTAAACCACAAGGTCAGTGGTTCAAGCTTACCCACTGCTTCTTAGAAACCCTATGTAGGGTCACTATGAGTCAGACAGTGAATTGTTTAAAATCAGGAAAGGTGTGTGCTAGGGTTATAGTCTTTCACCATACTTCTTTGCTCTGGGTGCTGAGCAGATAGATCATCTGGATTATATGAAGAAGAACATGGCATCCAGATTAGAGGAAGACACATTAACAATCTGTGATATGCAGATAATACAGACTACAACATTCTGTATGGATTATGCCTCAACGTAAAGAAAATGACAATCTTCACAAATGGACTATTATGATAAATTGAGAAAAGATTGAAGTTGTCAAAGATGTCATTTTGCTTGGATCCACCATCAACATTCATGGAAGCAGCAGTCAAGAAAACATTGGACAGATCTGTTGCAAAACAATTCTTCCAAGTGTTAAAGAATAAAGATACCAGTTTGAGGACAAAGGTGTGCCTGACCCAAGCCATGGTATTTTCAGTCACTTCATATGCATGCGAAACTTGGACAATGAACAAGGAAGACTGTAGAAGAATTGATGCATTTGAATTATGGTGTTGCAGAAGCATTTTAAAGTACCGTGGACTGTCAGAAGAATAAACAAATCTTAGAATAAGTGCAGCCAGAATGCTCCTCAGAAGTGAGGGTGGCGAGACTAAAAATCTCATACTTTGCCATGTTATCAGGAAGGGCCAGTCCCTGGAGAAGGACATCATGCAGTCAAGGATCAGATGGACACAGGGACAGCAACAATGGGCTTAGCTGTAATAAGAATTGTAAGGAGGACGCAGGACTGGGCAATGCTTCCTTCTTTTGTGCATAGGATCATTATGCGTTGGAACTGACTTGCCGTCACCTAACAAGAAGTTAATGTAGCTCTAGTGGCATAGTGCTTAAGCATTCAGCTGATAATTGTAGCTCCTCTACAGAAGAAAGATATGATAGTCTGCCTCTGTGAAGATTGTTGTTGTTGTTAGGTGCCATTGAGTTGGTAATGACTCATAGCAACCCTGTGCACAACAGAATGAAATACTGCCCAGTCCAGCGCCTACCTCACAATGGGAGTGCACTGCTGCTGCCACTGTGCCAATCTATCTCATTAGGGGTCTTCCTCTTTTTCTACGACCCTGTGCTTTACCAAACATGGAGAGATTGGTCCCTCCTGATAATCTGTCTGAAGTATTAGAGACGAAGACTGGCCATCTGGGCTTCTAGGGAACATTCTGGCTGTACTTCTTCCAACACAGATCTATTTATTCTTTTGGCAGTCCATGGTACTTTCAATATTCTCCTTCAACACCATAACTCAAATGCAACAGTGCTTCTATGGTCTTCCTTATTCACTGTCCAACTTTTGCATGCATATGAGGTTATTGAAAATACCATGGCTTGGGTCAGGTGCACCTTAGACCTCAAACTGACATCTTTGCTCATGAACAGTTTAAAGCGGTATTGTGCCACAGATTTGTGTAATGCAATACATTGTTTGATTTCTTGACTGCTAATTCCATGAGTGGTGATGGTTGAGCTGAGCAAAATGAAGTCTTCCACAATTTCAATCATTTCTCCATTTATATGGATGTTGTTTATTGGTCCAGTGGTGAGGATTTTTGTTTTCTTTACATTGAGGGGAGAATGGTGGGGAGAGAGGCTTTATTCTACTTCCTGGTGGACTCTTGGACTGAGGGCCTCAGTTCTTTACTACCTGTTGGTCACTTTCAGTTCCTTCCCCGGTCTCAGCATAGCATCTGACTCACTTCAGAACAAGTGAATGAAAATGGATGAGAAAGTGCCCAAGGTAGAAGTCACAGTCTTTTTGTGACCTAATCTTGGAAATTTCCATCAACTTTGCCATATTCTATGCCTTAGAAGCAGGACATTAGGTGAAGCCCATATTCAAAGGGAAGGATTACACAGGGCATAAATAAATACCAAGAAGCAGATATCATTAGGCGTTATCTTAGAGACTACTGCCACTGCACCTACAAAAAAAATCTACAGCTAGCATTATACTTAATGGTGCAAAACTGAAGAATTTCCTCCTAATATTTGCAATAAGACAAAGATGTATCCTCCTACCACTCCTATTAAGTATCATACTAGAGATCCTACCTAGTGCAATAAGGCAAGAATTAGAAATAACAGGCATAGTGGTTAGGAAGAACTAAAATTGTTCCTATTTGAAAATGACATGAAAATTCCAAGGAAGCTCCAAAAATCCTGTTAGAATTCATAAGTGAGACCTATTGGTTGCTTGGCTGGTTGTGCGCTCTCAAGTGGGTTCTGTCTCATAGCAACACTGTGTAGGATGTCTGGGGCTGTATGTTTTTATGGGAGCAGAAAGCCTCATCTTTCTCCCACGGAATGGCTGGTAGTTTCGAACTGCCGACCTTGAGGTTAGCAGCCCGTTTTGTAATCACTATGCTACCAGAGCTCCTTAAATACGAATTAGAATGACTAAAATAAAAAGAACTGACAATGTCAACACCTGGAAAGCATGTAAAGTCATTGGAACTCATATATTTCTGGTGGAATGCAAAATGTCACTTTGGAAAATATTTTGGCAGTTGCTCACAATGACATATACTTATTGTACAACCCAGCATTCCTCTTTTAAGTGTTTAACCAACAGAAATAAAGCAATACATTCATATAAAAGGTCTTACCACTTGATTTATAATTGCCCCAAACTGGAAACAAGGCAAATGTTCTTTAACTGGGAATCAGTAAAGGAACTTTGTACATCTAAAAAATGGAATACTGTTGCTGTTGTTCAGTGCCACCAAGTAGGTTCTGACCTATAGCAACCCTGTATAGAGTTTCCGAGGAATACTACTCAGCCATAAAAAGAAATTGTCCTGGTGTGGCGCTGTGTGCTAATGTACTGGAGAGCAAAGTCGCTTTGTACCACAAGGTCACTGGTTCAAGCTCACCAGCTGCTCCTTGGAAACCCTATACAGGGTTGCTATGGGTTGGGACCAACTCAACAGCACTTCACAACAACAACTGACAAATGCAACAACAAGCATTAAGCTTAAATGAATCACACTTAAGTGAAAGATGCCTGATTCAAAAGGCTTTTACATAATCATTTCATTGCTATAACATTCTGGAAAAGGGAAAACTATAGAAACAGAATACAGATCAGTGTTTGACATTTGCAAACAATTTCTGGAAGGTTCACAGACTACCTTAATCCATCCACGGGGGACCCCCATCTATACGTCACTCCGTTTTTAAGGCAGTTGTCAACCCTTCTCCCTCTAGCTCAAACTCTGTCCTGAATCTAGTGGCATGCTGCTTGGCACAGAATTGGTCCCTGTTTCATAGAGAATGTCTTAATTCTCTTTGAGGTACTGCTTACAACTAAACACCCAGTGTTTCGTGGAACAAGACAGTCTACCCAATGAAAAAGCAGCATTTCATAATTTGCCCAGGTTCAACAGCTTCTCACGTGTTTAGACCTGAGAGAATACGAACCAACTGGAAATAAGAAGCCTAAAACATTAGGTAGAATCTGTAAGCCTCCACTTCTCATAACAGAAGGTCCAGACTGCACTGCGTGCCTCAGAAATCAATGGTCAAAGAGTATCCCCAACACCACCACCCCTACAAACTGGTTGAAGAAAAGTGCTGACTTTAACCAATTTCAGCCATCATATCCTCCTGGTCGCCCATTTTCCCTGTCACCCCTCCTACCACTCATTCATTTGCTCGTTCATTCATTTATTCACTGGATATTAGAGAGCTTATCCAGGCCAACAAAAACAGAAGCTGCAGGGAATACATTTGTAGAAAGGGCTGTGTCCGGGAAAGTGCAGACTGCATGTAGCTGATACTGATACAGCTGCGTTTTCCATCACCTGTGGGAGTTTGCAATCTTGATGGCCTCCTCTTCTGGGGGAAAGGGGACGGGTGGGCAATTGCAGGGGCATGGGCCCAATCTCAGAACAGCCCTCCCTGGGGTCAAGGGCAGCCCATCCATTACGGCTGTGGCAGGCCGGTGCGGGAAGCTGGGGATCTGCAGCTCCGCCCAAACCGGCCCAGGGCGGAGGCCGGTTCCCATAGGGACCGCAGACGGAACGGGTAGAGAGTGAAGCCGGATAGAGTGGGCGAGACAGGCACAAGTCCGGGACCGGCAGTCAGTCGCAGCGCTGTGAGTCCGGACGGAGGAGGTCGGGCGGGGGCCCTGCGGGCCGAGTTGCCACGTGGCGCAGCTCTCTGCGCAGCGCGGGGCAGACATGGGCTGGTAACCTTTGGGGCTTCCTGCGACCGCGCAGCAGCAGCAAAGCGCAGCCTGGTCCGGCACCACGCCGAGTCCGAGCCCGAGCCCGCGCCCCCGAGCGGGCTGCAGGGGTGAAGGGCGCGGGGCAGGCCCTAATGGGACTGGGCCGCCGCCCCCGCCGGGAGCCGGACGGTGTCTTCTTGCCGAAAGGAAATGAGACCCGAAATTAGAACCGGGGAAGCCCTTAGCCTTCCTGGTCCTCCAGCCAGCTCATGTGTCTTGGATCGGGTGAACTATATAACATTAAAAAGATTATCTTACAACTAGACTCGTTTTAGGATGAGAGGTTTTATTTTAACTTGAGGGGTATGTCACAGGCCATTAAAATCGATTTCCTGTAGGCTGTAATCCTTTATCGCGTTGCCTTTGCCTAGAGGGTGCTTTAAGGACACGGGTCCATTCCTAATTCTTTAACAAGAATTCTTTAACCTGCTTCGTTCTGTTGCAGGTCCTTGACAAAGACCCATCGTAGAGTGGGGCTCTGGTGCTATCTGTTCATTCCCATATTTTATACGCGGCGTTTTTAAACTATGTGAAGATCTGTCTTAGGAAGATTTATTCCTTTGTAATGGAGAAGTATGAAAAAATTGGGAAAATTGGCGAAGGATCCTATGGAGTTGTGTTCAAATGCAGAAACCGGGACACGGGTCAGATTGTGGCCATCAAAAGGTTTCTGGAATCAGAAGATGATCCTGTCATAAAGAAAATCGCTCTTCGGGAAATCCGCATGCTCAAGGTAATTGATTCTTTTAAGGTGAATTTCCAAGGATTAAAGAAATACATTAAAGTGAGCCGTGCTATGATAAATGCATGCCTTAAGAAGTGCTTACGTCTCCTTCCTTCAGGGACTTGTCCTCAGTGACACACGAACCGAACCATACACACATTATATAATGAACTAGGAAGCAGGCACATATAAGGGTAAAGTGAGAGGTACTCACTTTGAGTTGCTGTGAATACTTTAATTTTCTTTCCAATAGCTTCTTTCCCACATTACCTATAATCCTCATACTTTAATAGTGCAGGATCTGAACACAACTCAGGTTTGCTAGCATTCTGGATTTTTAAACTTCTAGGCTGTTTTCTGTTAAGATCTCCATCCTTTAAGACAATCAATCAAACTGAAGGAAGCAGATAGGTTTTCAGTACACCTCATTTATCTACTACTAAGCATCCTGTCCCTCTAAAAGAAGGTTCTTCTAAAATAAAAGTGAAATTATATTGTCTCTTTAAAAATGTTTATCAGTTAACTCTAAGAGACTTATCAGAGGGGGGAAAAGTTATTATAAATTGTATTCTCTTTCCCCTCGCCCCCAGCAATGTATAGAGGCTTCATTTTGAGTTGCTGTGAAAAGGAAATCCAGATTGCAATGTAAGATGTAATGAATACAGTGGGTGTTTACTTTTTTTCCAAATAGCTATGACTTCTGCACTCCAACAAGAGGATTATGCTTAGCCTTGCATCTCCATTTTTTCCAGATCTCTAAAAGCCTTCTTTATCCCATGAGTTAAGTTTGTGGATTCATTTCTGGATATGCACCCTAAATGGGAAGTTCATTGGTAGTTCACTGTTCTGAGAAGACACTTCCACGATTTCCCTGCCCCCTCCCCCCCCCACACACACAAAAAGTGCTAACCTTCTCAGGGATGAGCCCACCAGCATTGATTGTCCATTCCACTGCCTGTGTAATTCCCCTTACCTCCAGCTCTACACTGGGAGAGTATATCACCATTTCTTTGGGTCTGATAAACATTTTTTTCCTTTCTCAGACTTTCCTTCTAGAGAGGTGATATTTGCATTTCAAAGGGTTCATTTACTCCAAAGAAAAGAAAATCTGTTTCAGCAGAGAGATTCTTTCTCTGATTCTGAAAGTCATCTGTGAATGCCTCACTCAGTCCTCTCATAGGTACATGAGTATTCAGTTATTCAAAAGAATACATCCAACTTCCAAATTTATTGGTAACACCTACCTTTGCTGTGAACATGTTTTTTGCAATCCAACAATTGCATTACCAGAGGACTACTATGTACCAAACAGTATGACTTGGAATACATTGATTGAGAGGCAAGGTTCTCATCCTGGAGGAACTTAATTAATTCAAGGAAATATACCTGTAAGGAGTCCTAGTATGGCGCTGTAGGATAAGCACAGGACTGTTAACTTCAAAGTCAGTGTCTCAAACCCACCAGCAGCGCCTTTGAAATTTTATACAGGGTCACTGTGAGTAACTGAATATTGAATAACTTAATATTGATGTACAACAAGGATAGAGTGTTTACACAAGAGCCTGATTTTAAAGCACCCAGCCCCTGGTTTTCTATAATCACGGGCACCAGTGTAGATATCCCTAGCCTATATGAGGTGGTGGGAATCAATGATCAGTCAACTCTGCCCCTCCAAGCTCTAACTTTTTAGAACTCTGTGATATTCCTAACACTTAGTAAACAATTTGTTGAATAAATTGGGAATATTTAAGTGAAGTCATATATTCTCTATTTATTTTTTCAGTAAATACTTATGGAGTCCTAGTTGTGCCTACAACGAAGTTTATGTAAGCTTGTATGTGCTCTTTGGGAAGTAAGATGAATTTCCCAACAGCCCTCGCTCTTGGTGGACTAGGTTCATAGTAGGCAGGACCCGTGTCATTTACCTTGTGTCCTCCATGCCTGGCAAGAATTCTCTAAATCCTTGTTGATTGGTGAAAATAAAATGTTTGGAGTCTCATTTAAGCTAGACCTTAAAGGATATGAGAGCTGAGATGTTCAGAACCTATCCTAAAAAAAAAAGATGCATAAGTAGAAATCATATGATATTGAGGTAACGATGGGTCTTTGTCAAGGACTTGCAACAGAATAAGGTACTTGTTAAAGAGTCAGGAATGGACTCATGTCCTTAAAGCACCCTCTTGGCAAAGATGCCTGCCTGCTGAGGGCTAACAGGCCAGGGAGAGAAGGGAAAAGAAGGAAGCCAGGGTCTGGTAGGAGGGAATGGGAAGAACTTCCTGGAATACAGGTTTGACCTTGGAATAAAATGAATGGTTGGTTAGTGCACAGCTAAGAAGACCTGATGGTGCAGTGCATAAGCACTCAGCTGCTAACTGAAAGGTCAACAGTTCAAACCCACCAGTCACTCTGTAAGAAACTTGTGAGAGTTTGGTTGCTTCACAGCCTAGAAAATGCCATGGGGCAGTTCTACTGTGTCCTCTAGGGTCACTATGAGTTGCAATCAACTCACCATCAATGGGCACATAGCTAAGGAGCCCTGGTTGCCAACTGAAAGGTTGACAGAACCCACCAGTAGCTCCATGGGTGGAAAAAAAGCTGACATTTTGTTCCCAAAGTGATCAAAGCTTATGAAACCCTATTGGGAAATTCTACTCTATTGGGCGACGGAGTTGCAATGAATTTGAAGGCAAATATCAACAACAGCATATAGTTGTAGTCCCTGGGTGGTACAAACATTTAATCACTCAGCTACTAATTGAAAAATTGGAGTTTTAAGTCCATCCAGAGGCACCTCAGAAGTAAGACCTGGTGACTTACTTCCAAAAAGCCAGCACTTAGACCCTGTGAAGCACAGTTCTGTGGTGACACACATGGGGTTGCCATGACATGGAGTAGACTCAATAGAAACTAGTATTTGAAAGCACATGGCTACTCTTTGGTTCTGGGTAGTTTCAGGGTTTAGAGCCTGGTTGTAATCCCTGGGAATGGCAAAACTGGTGAGATCAAGATAGTGCCATCTGAGCTGGAATGCAAGAATTCAGCACCATGTGATGTGAGAGAAACAGGTGGGCCCAGGGGATGGTTGCAGTTTAGTGGCTCACTGAGTTGTTTGTTTGTTTTTTAACTTATCCCCAGCACATTGTTCACATGGCTGGAGCTCTTAATGAACCCTACCAAGATCAGGAAAAATAAAGGAATAGGAGAGCCGAGACTGAAGGTGCTTCAGAAACCTTAGCCAAGCCACATGAGGGTGGGTGGGGGCTGACTCCCTACAGGCGAGAATTCACCCTTTTCTATAATTAAGGTTCAAACATATGATATATTGGATAGGTATTGGGAAGTGGGTTAATCATGACAGAAGCCAGATTACAGAGAAACAAAGTCTCTGAAAGGAAAACCCCCTTAAATCAAGAAGTGTGGCATGATTGGCTGGAATCATCAGAAGCCCAGTGGGGAGAAGGGAAGATGGTCCTGCATAAAGCAGCTGGTTGTACTTGAACCCAGCCCAGATGCCTGGGGAATGTCTGTGTGTCCAGAAGGAAAAGGCTGTGTGGATCAAAACAAAATAAACCAATCAGAATAACTAAGACTAAGGTCTCAAGGCTCTATGTTTTGGAACCCTCTCTCTGTGGAAAGCAAATGGTAAAATTATTAGAAGTGGAAGGAAAGAATTTTAAGGAGAAATGGCAGAAAGAGTAGATGCTTCCAGAGGAGTTGGAGGTCATGGTAAGGTCATGAATTGTCTGGGCATATGGCAGATTGACCCTGGGTTGAGGGCTAAGAACGGCAGCTTGGACTTTGTCTGTGATAACTTTATTGTGACAAGAAAACAAGAAAGAGAAGCAAGGCAAAGGAGTCGAGTATTGTTGTTTGGCGGGTAGGAGCTAATGAACCAGTGGGCTAGGACAAGCTGCCAAGTTTTGTTACCAGAGGCTGCACAAATTATGCACATGACAACCTTGGAAGGTAGATTTTGTTATCCCCACCTTACAAAAGGATTCAGGATGGTTAATGATTTGCCAAGGGCTCCCATTTAGTAACCTGGACTACAAACACAGTTCTAAGTGTCCTCAAGTACAGGTCCTGCTGCTGTCACATACTAGAACCATCCCATTACCCCAAGCACCAAACTCTAAGTTTCTCAATGGCTGGTCTTCAGAGTGTCTCCTACCTGCGCTCCCAGCAGGGGCCTTAGCTGTGAGACTCAGCTTTCATGGAAGCCTGGGTAGATTCTCACTGGAATAGCAGTTCTCTCTTGTCCTGTCTGGGTGTGACTTTGAGTGTTAATGCGTTAGACTACAGAGACCACAAAGCCAGCAGTTCAAGCTCACTCCTCGGAAACCCTATACAGAGTCGCTATGGGTCGGAGCCAACTCAACGGCACTTAACAACAACAACAACAACTTGTCCACCTCCATCACTCTGTAGAGCACTTTAGATGGTCTCCCACCAACAAAACTGATATGGGTGAAATGCTCATTTGAAACTTTCATATAATGATTGCATATAAAGACAATGCATTGTCAATGGTAACACTTCACTCACTAAGGGAGCAAAAATTCTGATTTTGTTTATGTATAAAGTGTAGATATACATACAGTATCCATACACCTGAGCCTTGGTGGTACAGTGGTTATGAGTTGGACTGCTAACTGGAAGTTCAGCAGTTCAAATCCACCAGCCGCTCTGTTGAGGACAGATGTGACAGTCTGCTTCTGTAAAGATTGTTGTTGTTGTTAAGTGCCGTCGAGTTAGTTCCGACCCATAGCAACCCTGTACAGGGTTTCCGAGGATGTAAATCTTTACGGGAGTAGAAAGCCTCCTCTTTCTCTCACTGAGCAGCTGGTTGTTTCGAACTGCTGACCTTAAGGTTTGCAGCCCGATTCATAACCACTACGCTACCAGAGCAGCCTTAGAAATCCTATGGGGCAGTTCTACTCTGTCCTGCTAGGTCACTGTAAATTGGAACTAACTCGATGGCCATGGGTTTCTGTACAGATACACAGTAT